TTAGACGAGCTTCCTGTATTGGTGGTAAATGGACGGTTAAACAATGACCGACGAGGAACACTGGTTCTAGGATGATATCCGGTTTGAATATACCTGTTTGATTCCAGGGTAAAAAATCCATACTCGGCAACACTTTCGCGAGAGACGGGATTCGATTTTTCAGCTATTTGGTGAGTTTGTGTAATGATTAATGGATTCCAATAATTTCCCATGCAATCAATTATTAAGGCGTGTGAAGATCGATAGGTTGACACACACGTACATAACAAACTGAAATCTTCCGAGCAGCGAAACCATTCAATACAATAGGAAATCTCCTGAATGTTCAGATTAATCAAATAGCAATAATTGTATGCACTCTCTAATGGATTTGGCGTATAAATCTTCTTCTGCAGAAGACAGTTACACACCAAATTTTCAATCTTGGGTAACGGAGTGCATTTGTGTAATTCCATTGCAGCACATAAATCATCGCCTAGCTCCTTCGGAGGGTTCGGTTTCGTGAGTTGAAAATCATCCAAATTCACCTGGATAACGGCATCGACTGGTGGCGGATTGAACGGGAAATTCAGTTCAGTGAAGGGGGGAGGTTCAGGCAATGGTATTCTATTTAGGCTGATTACATTGCACATAATTAATACATCATACCACTGATTAGTCCGACAGCAATCAATCAGATCACCATAGCGATTTCCATCAAATAAAGGATCGTTCATTAGATCCCTCAGTTCGACAAACCGTCGTAAGTGATTGATGAACCATGTTTGTCCCAACAGATCATAGTCAACAGTTGTCTGCGTTTCCCGACTGTGCAACCAATCATCACGTGTTTGCGTACTGAAATCTTCATAGACCACCGGTTCTTCTTGGTTGGACGAAAAATGACTAACTTTTGTCACAATAGATGCATCACAGGAGGATGTCAAGTCCACATGGTCAGCCGTGGCTCGGAGTGCGGGACACTTGTAATCAACCAGAATCATACTCATTGCCGGATTAAGTGATTTCGTATGATGAATCAGGCGAGTTCGTAGTTCTTGATTCAGCTTTATTTGATTGGCCAATTGATGACTGAGATCATGAATGGTTTGATTCAAACTGGGTATCCTTCTGACCTGTTTTTCCAATTCGTGCACTCTGGCCAAACTTTTCACCAACTGATCTCTTATAGCAATCAGCTGTGTTGATGATAGATTCATGATTTCTGTACCAAGTGACTTAGCAGGCCTATCGCCAGTGTTCCAAGTTTGAAAGTAATGCAATTCCGAGAGAGTTGTGTTCCAATCACAATTAAGCAAGAGGCGATGGTTTTCTCGCTTTATTTGATGCTGATGTTTCTTGGTTTGTGGCCGCGTGGAAAGATACTGAAGGGACGAAATTTGTGAAACGCTCACACATGACGGTTCTGCGGTACTTGAACTATCTGGAGAATTATTGGGCATCGAGTCTGAGAGTGTTGTTATACTTCATCCGCTGAGCAGAACTATACATATTTCGGTAGAGATGTTTCGTTATGTATTAGTAGCTATACAAATAAACAAAGAAAAGAGCTCAAATTGGAAGTTTATGCGATAAGGCCTCTTGCCGTTGGCAAGGTAGCTTATATCTTTATTCAATTACATTCATACCATTTTGAGTATAATGTGCATGGATTGTTAACATATAAGCTAGGAACACCACTACTCTCAGATAAATGTGTACGAGTGCGACCAACAAAGATAGGACACGTATTCGGCACGTTTGGAATACGCATCAGCAACCGAGAGAAACCAACTGAGGAAAACTGTGGGCTTATATAGAGGGCCTTATCAATCCTCAGCATGGTCGGGGATGGGTGTATTGGATTGCGGCTGGTCACCTTCCCCTTGCAACGCGTTAAATGTTTCTATACGACCAAGCGTCTGAAACAACCTTTGCTGCGGAAGCCCGATTCACTGCCTTTTAGAGGCGGTCTTTTCCCACCAAATGAGGGGACGTTTGACCCTGTCCAAAAGAGCGTATGAACCGATGAACTGGATACCGGCACCTAATGGGTTGGGGTTTTCACACACTCACCTTGACAAAAATAGGGAGAAGCCCATCAGGTCCCGCAGCCTTCCTGTTCTTTAGTGATTGAATGCAGCTTCGTACTTCCGATTCTGATGGGGGCTCGTAGGTGACCACCCATGGGGTTTCCGCCGCACTTGCTGCAACGACCATATTAGCACTGGGCCAAATGAACTGTTCACTAAAATCCTCTGCCCAGCGATCAAGTCGTTGTTTTTAATTGTAGATACTCTGTTCACTTTTATCGCAAATAGTCTCACTAACCGGTGCTACGCATCAGGTGAAACAGTTTCTGACTATTCCCTAAAGCAGAAGCTACCTGCATTTCACTAGCTATTTTGGTCCACCAGTTTTTGCGATCTTTCTTAAAGCTTTTCTGAGTTGAAGTTGCAGAGGTGGTGGACAGCCCGCTGTCGCTCGACTCACAACCACGCTCAACCTATTGAGGTCTTATGTGGTTTACCACTTCAAGTCCCAGGGTTGGGTTGCCGGTCTTCTCTCACACCACAAATGAACAATACAACTCACAGAAACCACAGAATGCGCACTCTACCTACGAACTCACAACACTCCATAGCTCTCACTCACATTCGTAGTTTAAATCGAAACTTTAATACTGTACACCACTTTCGCAAATCTTCTTCCCCGTCGGCTTTATTTTTGACGGAGACACTAATCTCCCCTCGTCAGAAACTACTCATCGTCGGTTCCCTAATTACTTCCTTCATTCTTTTCCTTCTAAAGCTGGTGTCGGTGCCTATATTCATCATTCTGTCGCTCCTTCTGGACTTTCACACTTGGACTTCTCTAACCGTGAATTTCAGCTTGTGGCTGAAACGTCGGTTCGCTTCTTCAATCATTATTTTTGTACTGATTACCGCGCCCCGAGCAGCAATGGTTCTTCTATTTTTGATAGTCTGTCTTCCAACATTGGCACACTAATGTCAGCAGAAACTAACAGATAAAACATCATTGTCAGAGATTTCAATGTCCACAACAAG